AGGCAGTTAGGGGCCTGAATGGGTGAAACCAACTCACTGGGGATGGAAATTCCATTTTTTTTTTTTTATTTGAAAGGCAGAGGTACACAGACAGAGGAAGAAGCAGAGACAGAGAGAGGGATCGTCCATCTGCTGGTTCGTTGCCCAGACGGCTGCAATGGTCAGGGATAAAGCAGGCCAAAGCCAGGAGCTTCATCTGGGTCTCCCACATGCGTGGCAGAGGCCCAAACACTTAGCCATGTTCCGCTGCTTTTCCCAGGCTATTAGCAGGGAGCTGGATTGGAAGTGGGGCAGCCTGGAATCCAAAAAGTGCCCATACAGAATGCTGGCTTCCCGGCTGAGCTTTACCCACCGTGCTACAACGCAGGCCCCAGCAATTCCACTTAAATGAGAATGAGAAAGAGTGCAAGTTATTAAGCTCAGGGAGGGTAGTGAACAAATTCCTTTTCTAATTTGTGGAAGTACAGTAAATATTACAAAAAAAAAAAAAAAAAAGGTTGCTACTTTCGTCAATGGTAAATTTCTACAGATAAAGTTTCAGCTATTTTACCTAACTGGGTCCTATCTGTGAAGGGCTTTCCACACTGAATCCACCATGCAATCAACTTTACTCTGGATTGGCTCTCAGTTATTAATAAATATGCTCCTTAAGGTCAAGTAATTATAAGATCTATCTATTCTATAATGTTCTTTCTGATTTATATATTTTATTTATTTGAAAGGCAGAACGACAAAGGGAGGGAGAAAAAGAGATCTCCCATCCATGGAATCACTCCCCAAATGACACTGATGGCTAGAGGTGGGTCAGGTTGAAGCCAGAAGCCCAGAACTTCATCGTGGACTCCCATGTGAGTGGCAGAGGCTCAAGTACTTTGCTTTGTCAGGAATATTAGCGGAGAGCTGGATCAGAAGCGGAAGAGCCAGGACTTGAAATGGCACTCCATTGCAGTGGAGGATGGCCCAGGTGCTTGGGCCCTGCACCCCATGGGAGACCAGGAGAAGCACATGGCTCCTGGCTTCGGATCAGCGCGATGCGCTGGCCGCAGCATGGCGGCCATTGGAGGGTGAACCAACGGCAAAAGGAAGACCTTTCTCTCTGTCTCTCTCTCACTGTCCACTCTGCCTGTAAAAAAAGAAAAAAAAAAAAAGAAAGAAAGAAAGAAAGAAAGAAAGAAATGGCACTCCAATATGTAATGCTGGCATTGCAAGCAGTGGCTTAACCTCCTGTGCCACAATTCTGGCCCAAAAGATCATACACTTAAGAAAGAAAGTCTGCAGTACCAGACACACAAGAATAAAGTTATACATTTTTTCCTCTTAAAAATATTACCACTCTTACCACATATTAAGCTTTCTTCTTTTAATTTCCATTTTTAGAGGACTGCTTGGTATTTTATTCTCCTATGAAAGTATGACCTGTAATCCTCTTTAACACATTGGAACCCACTTAATATGCTAAAGTAGCCTAGGCGTATTCTGCATTTACCGACTCATTTGGTTTTAGTGCTACACAGAGGGAAAGAAAAAGAAGATGTAATTCCTGACCTCTAGAAATATCTTTTTATTGGTGAGACACGACTATATGCATGAAACAGGAAACTGCCTGTAAGGATATGACTCACGGAGAGCATGGGAAAGGCAATGTTGAGTTCCTAGGGGGTGGGATAGGTGCACAGACTTCACAGATACACTGGAGCTTCATTGGAGTCTTGCAGGATGAACACTATGAGCCAAGGTAGAATGGAGAGATCCAGACATCCCACACTGTGAGAGGTGTATGCAGTGCTTGGAATGGAGGATTCTACAGTGTGAGGAGCACTGGGCCACAAAGAAGGGGATTGGCAGAAAAGTGCAAGGGTTTTAAAGGGAGACAAGGAGTAGGATCAGCACTGAACAGCAAAAAGGTACAAGAAACTCAAAATACTCATTCTTGTTCTCTTCCCTAACATATCAATCATCCTGGCTAAGAGGGTGCCTCTCTGTTCTTTCCTTGCTTCCTTCATTCATCAAAACAAACAGGATGACATATTACAAAATACTAGTTATAAGAGGCTGCAAATACTCCCTTTCCTTGAAAATCACACAAAATAGGAGACAAAAAAAGATAAATGATTTCAGTGTATTATGAAAAGTGCCTTGATGGCCGGCGCCGTGGCTCACTAGGCTAATCCTCAGCCTGCGGCCTGGCACTCCGGGTTCTAGTCCTGGTTGGGGCACCGGTTCTGTCCCGGTTGCTCCTCTTCCAGTCCAGCTCTCTGCTGTGGCCCGGGAATGCAGTGGAGGATGGCCCACATCCTTGGGCCCTGCACCCGCATGGGAGACCAGGAGGAAGCACCTGTCTCCTGGCTTCAGATCGGCGCAGTGTGCCGGCCATGGCAGCCATTTGTGGGGTGAAACAATGGAAGGAAGACCTTTCTCTCTAATTCTGCCTGTCAAAAAACAAACAAACAAACAAATAAAAAACCAAAAAACAAAAAACTAAAAGTGCCCTGATAAAAAGATATAGGGGAATTACAACGGAGCAGACACACACAGGTTAGGGGCTAAAGATGGAAAACACTTCCAAGAGAAGGAACTGTGGTCCTGAGTGAGGGGCAGACCCGGTGCAGGTGGGTGGGATGGGGAAGGAGAAGGCAGTCTGGGGAGAGGCAACTGCCAGCTGCAGAGCCCGGGAGAGCTGGAGAGGGGGCCTGGCGCAGGGGAACAAAGGCTGCGTGCGGAGAAGGGGCACAGCATGCATATGGGTCACTGATTATCAAAAATACAGGAAACCAAAGAGCTGTGAGAGCTTCCCCCGGTTCTGCAAATCATTTACAGTGGGATTTACAGTGGGATTTCGAACGACTTCCTTCTCGGTGTTCTCAGTGTCATCGTTACAGGCACACTCAACTCTTCACTTCGAAATGCCCATGTCCAAATTAGGTCAACGCAGGCAGAAACATCTTAAGGTTTATGTTTACTGTACTTGCAGAAGCTTGGGAATAAAAGCGAAAGCATCTCGTTCCACCCCCTCTCCAAGGAAACATTGCTTCTAAGCACTCCTGGCAGGTGGCCACCCAGACAGGGAAAGATCTGCCTAGCGCCAGGGAGCTCAGTCTGCTTCAGGAAATGGTCCGATTCGGTTCTGAACATCACTAGCTGCAAGGAAGCTTTTTTCTTAAACTGAGATGAAATATGTCTTCCTGGGACTTCTACCCATTCTGACCCCCTAGAGGGACTGAAAAAATAGCCTACTGGGCCTCCCACACATGCAGATGGCGCAGACTGTATTTATAATCGTGCAGACAGAACTGTCCCTTTTCCTCACTAAAGGATTTCTGGGTGAACAACTGGCTCACAGTTTTGATTAATTAGGTTCTCCAAAACAATGTGCCACCTTTCTTTTCATGCAGACCTGGAAGGGACATCTGTTACTGTTACTAATGCGCCATTTTCCCCCATTACTGATTAGTAATACCTTATGTTTGCACCATACTTCACTCCTTTCCAAGCATCTCCACATAAATTATCGCATTCTAATGTCATAAGAAGGTTGCCGCACCTTCTTCCATCAGTATTATTTTAACAAAAATCTTCGTTATTTGCTTTATGATAGAGGGTAAAGCATATGCCTGAGAGAACTCTAGGTTGCTAATAGGCCAAAGACTAGGAGACAACAAAGGTCTAGCATATTTTAGGAGAATACAGAAGAAAAAAGTAATTAAAAGAAGAAACTCTGGGAGCCAATGCTGTGGCGTAGTGGATAAGCTGCCGCCTGCAGTGCCAGCATCCTATATGGGCGCCGGTTCCAGTCCCAGATGCTCCACTTCCGATCCAGCTCCCTGTGAGGGCCTGGGAAAGCTGTAGAAAATGGCCCAAGTTCTTGGGCCCCTGCACCCATGTGGGAAATCCTGAAGAAGCTCCTGGGCATTGTGACTATCTGGGACTGAACCAGCAGATGAAAGATCTCTGTCTCTCTCTCGCTCTCTCTCTGCCTTTCAAATAAATATTTAAAAACAAACAAAACAAAAAAACCTCTGAATGTTTATTCTGGTTACGGGCAAAAAATTGATACTTACTTTAACTATGGACCACAAATATTCCTGTCTTATCACATCATTTGTATAATCACAATTATTCACATGACAAACCCAGAGCTATGTGCCTAGCAATGGGACCCAGGGAGAAGAGAATAGAAATGGAATTAAATGAGGTATGATTTTAACTCTTGGTATCAAATGTAGAACAAGAATTGAAACAATTATAATTTTACCCCAGAGATGACTTAGTGGTCAGTGAAAGATGGAGAGGAAGTGACAGCAAAGAGGTGGGAAAGCAGACTGGGACCCACATTTCCAAGTACAGTTTTCGTTTTCCCCAAAGCTAAGTGCCGAGGGCAAGCTCTATGTTGGTGCTTTGTAGAATGTGAAGGACAGCACCTTGAGAGCCAGTGTTCTGAAAAAAGTCTGCTTCTATAGGCCTAAGCCGACGTCTTGCACCTATGATTAAAATGACAGCAGCCTTTTCCACCCATCAAGCCAAAGAAAGATGTGTTTGCAACTCCAGAAAGCACTATAAGAACTGAAGAATCCTCTCGGCCTGGGGAGATGTGATTCCAAATTGAAAAGGGCTCCTGGGGAGGAATTCTGTGAAGCATGCAATGTTTCACTGCACTGGACACAACGCTAATGCACCTGCAGAATTCTCTGCAGTGGATCAAATGACTCGGCTACTCTTGAGAGACCTCGCTGCATATTTGCTTGTATTGTCCCTAGCCCTCCAAAGTGCACAAGCACCCCTACAACAAGAATCTATAAGGATTAACAATTTAACCTGACGACACCTGGCTTTGATCCGAGGAAGGATATATGTAAATACCAAGTAATGGTAACAGTTCAGTGATTTCTCCAGAGAAACAGGAAAGTGTTAGGTTTCCCGTGGGAAAAACAAACTGAATTTTTTGAAACTGTACCTTAACACACAAGACAAGAGAACACTCAAGAAACCAATGGCAAACCAACCTTGTTGGCAGAGTACAGCAGCCATCCGCTGTGAGTCTGACTTGAGTTTCATAGCTATCCAGGGGGCACACGGCCTGCTGAACAGAGGGGCATTCCACAGTGCTGCAGTCCACGCTGAAAACTGAAAGAAGCAAACAGAGAGGCACCACTTACTATTAAATTTACTTGCAGTTTCAGTCTCTGCATGCAACACGGGCTCTTGACAAACTTCCAAAGTTTCCTGGCTTCTCACAAACCTACTCCGAGTGCTGGCAATGCTACATATGTCCCACATTTTCTGTGAAAAGGCATAGGTAGGGACAAGACATATAGGAGTTGAGATGAAGATACATATGGGGAGGCAGTGGTGGGGGAGAGTTAACCAAATGTTGGTTACTAGGACGGTGACAGTCAGCCAGAGGTATTTCCGATAGAACAGCTCAAGAGATAAACAAGGGACTGTTTTTGCTTAAAGCATTTATCTATTAAAGTTAACAAAAACAAAAAACCAAGAACAACTAACCATGGGGTTAGAAACTTGCAAAGAAGAAACCATGACATCCTAGACGTGTTCACAGACCACATTAGAAATGCTGCCACAAGAGCAAGGATGTTAGAAATAATATGAAGCAAGAAACAGCTGGGACACGACAACAAATCAAATGTTGGCAAAGAAGGTGAGTCAACAGTCAAAGATGACTTAGCACATGCTACAAAGTCAAGGGGATGGATGGCGGGGATTGGCAAGGAGAAAGATGGGGGCTGAGTGCTTCGTTATGAAACTGCGGGCACGGTGATGCAATATTTATCTAAAGTTAACTTTGTTTTATGTATGACGATTGTTTTTAAATGTAATACTTTAAAGTAATAGACCTACAAATGAGGGCTCTGGTATTCACTGGGGGAATGAAGCAAGTAGCCACAGTACCAAAAAAAATTTTTTTAGCCCCATCTCCCCCATGAAACGTATATTGAAGGAAAAAAAAATGAAGAAAGAGAAAAACACACACCCCTGAAGGTGCTCATGTACCAGTGGGTGATCCCTCTGAGTCTCTGACTAGAAAGATAGACGTTAGGCTGCAATTAGCCCCAGCTGGCAGACAGGCAACATACTGATGAGAATGCTCATCTGTGCATGAAAGGAGAAGCCAAGGGTAGTTGACGCGAGACTTGCTACCCTCTGGTGCAGAGGAGCTGGGCTGCTGAGACAGAGCTCGCGCGTACCTGGTTTGCACTCATAGAGGTCACAGCACTCTCCCGGCTTCCCTGAGGCTTTGGACACTAGTATGTTCAGGTATCTCGGCTGGCAGACTTTGCGCAGACAGCCCGCAGGATTGCACACGCAGCGGCTGGGCAAGGGACAGCACTCCCCGGGAGGAGCATAACCCTCGATCAGAATGGAATCTTCAGGACAACGTGGAGAGAACTGGACTTCGCAGCGGGCCTTGGAGCAATCTGGCTTCTCTTCTAAATGGGAGAGAAAGAATTTAGCTCATGCCCAGGGCAGTATGGGGCACTTTCGTCAGAGGCACAGACAGCCCTGATGATCTGCTTACTAACCAAGGAAGAAAGCACTGAAAGGAATCAGGTGAACAGCCTCAATCTTTGTTTAGCCAACCATGGAGGTCTTTCCCAAGATGTGCCCATTACAACAAAATATGAGCCCGGAGTTCTTTTCTTCTCTATCTTCCACTCACTTGTGTTGAACAATCAATGTCTAGCGCAATGACCAAAACGAAGAAAGCCAGAGAGAAGATGCATCCACAGTACCAAAGATTTGAAAACCGGACTCAGTGACTGACAAAAAGATCTTTGAATTCAAAAGGGCTCTAAGAGCTGTTCTTTGAAAACAATACATATTTAAACACCAAACCAGACTCACAAATAAATCCAGGCCACTTCAGGGACTGGAGAAAATGTGCATAGTAATCAGCATGGAAGAGCTCTCCTCCAAAGTCCAAGTTTCAGGGAGATGAACTCATTAAGATTATGTGAAGCTATGATGTGGCAGCTTCGCCAGATGGATAATGAGCCAAATTCCTATGTGGTTTCCCTAAACAACAGTTGGTGTATTCCTATGTCTAGCAGAAATCCTTCAAATGTACCACATTCCCCTTCCTCTAATGTTACCTGTTGACCTGAGTTTTAAAGATGGGAAAAATGAAATCAAGGTTGGCGTTACCCAAGCCTTAGCTTCTGGAGCCCCAGGATGTGGCTTGCTTCCTTGGTTTAAGCTTTTAAGAAACCTTCACCAAAATAGGGTCCTTGAAGAAAAGATAGAAATAAAGCAAAGGATATCATGGCTCTTGGGTGGTGGTGATAGTGTGGAGTTCAGAAAACACCTGGTGAAAGTGATGACATGCATAGTACTGGGGTACCTTTCCAAAATCCAAAGACGGGATCAGAGTTGGCTTAGACCCATGAGGCCACCTGGCGGAGGTGCCTCATTTTATAGACAAAGAACCTGAGGCTGAAGACTCAAGTGGCCTGCCTTATGACAGTTATGAAATTAAAGTAACAATGTGGGTCTCCTTGCTGCCAGTCCACTCACTCTTAACAGCACTAATGTGTGTCTCTCTCCAAAACCAAGGCTGTTTCTCCAGCTATTTTCTAACTTAATTGTTGTGCCTTTCATTCTACTGGTCATTTTCTCTGCCTAACTACTATACTCCTTTTTTTTTTTTTTTTTTGACAGGCAGAGTGGACAGTGAGAGAGAGAGACAGAGAGAGAAAGGTCTTCCTTTTGCCGTTGGTTCACCCTCCAATGGCCACCGCTGCAGCCGGCGCACCGCACTGATCCGATGGCAGGAGCCAGGATCCAGGTGCTTTTTCCTGGTCTCCCATGGGGTGCAGGGCCCAAGCACCTGGGCCATCCTCCACTGCACTCCCTGGCCATAGCAGAGAGCTGGCCTGGAAGAGGGGCAACCGGGACAGAATCCGGCGCCCCGACCGGGACTAGAACCCGGTGTGCCGGCGCCGCATGGTGGAGGATTAGCCTATTGAGCCACGGCGCCGGCCTATACTCCTTGTCTCGTTCAACATCATACAGGAGATCCTTCATACTCACAGTCTTAGTAAGTTCACTTGGAAGTATTTATTGAGCACTTGGGATATACATCAGTGAAAAGAACACACACAAGTCTCTGCCCTCATATGCTTACAAGGCAGTGGAGGGTGGCAAAATAAACAAGAAATAAATATTGTAAATAAGTTATGTAGTAGTAAAGAGTAAAACAAGAGAGTCAAATACAAGGGAACTGGAGTACCCAAAAGTCAGGCATGGGGAGGAGCAGTTAGCCTTTGGTCAGCATTAAGACTGAGAAGCTGATGTCTGAATACAAGAAGACACCCCTGCGGCTGCGGGAACACTGGCCCGTGGCTGGGCCTCCTCGAGCAGGAAGGAGATTGGCATGGCTGGGGCGCAGGTGAGTGACAGGAGACCAGAAGGGCTACAGGGGACCTGATCTGATAGGGCCCGTAGGCCACTTTGAAGACTGCAGCTTCCACTCAGATAAATCAGAGCTTTGATTGCGTAGGAGGATGCAGAGTAATTCAGAAGAATAAGTCCCCTCTGGGGACAGTAGGGTGTCGGGATCCTGGAGCGGCACAGAATATCTAGAGAGAGAGGAGCCATGGGAGAACACGGGAAAGGCATCTGGAGAGAAAGAAAAGGGAGGAAGACAGACACAAGCATTATTCTCCACAACTGCGGCGCGGGTGTGCTGACGGGATGAGAGGAGGTGGTTCAACTCTTAATATTCTGTGACCCTGCAATTGGCCTCTTGTGATCCTGCCACTTCTCTGCATCTGGGCCCTCATGGGGCTACACTCTGCTGCAGGCCTCTGGCCTCCCCCCTGGTAATTAACATGCTAATATGCAATCAGCAGCTAAAAGCAGAGTGGAAAGTAAAACGCCTCTGTCCTAAGCGCAGAGGTCGCTAACTCTACAAGGTGAGGTATTACCTGCTCCACTTTGCATGTGATGAAACTCAAGTTCAGATAAGTCAGGTTACTTGCCCAAGACCCCACAGCTAATAAATGGTGATGTAATGGTTTGAATCTTGGTCTATCTGGCTTTGACTACACCTCTCTGCAGCAACATGCCTTGTGTCTCAGGAATCACCAGTGTGCTTTGTATTCAACCTTGCTCTTGCCCCACTTTCATCATACTTTATTTCTTGGGGTTCAACTTCTTTCCTGATCAGAGCTGTAATTTCTGTGAATACTATCCAGTTTGGCTGGGTCCCTGTTTCTTCTAATCCAGCTCTACCTCACTGCAAGAGTACGTGAAGCTACACAGGTTATACTCTACATAGGCCTGTGCCAAAGAGTAGTTACCCCAGGGTGAGAGGAGCCAACTATCCCACCTTCATCTTTACAATCTCAAGGGAGAGAACCTGATCAGGCAGTAAGGAACTCTGGTCTCAGATCACCAGCAGCGCAGGGTGCACTAAACCAAAGAGCACGGAACAGAAGATGAATCTTAACTGAGTTGGATTTGTAAAGTACATTCTGCTGTTTATTGGCAAACACAAACATACTGTTTTATAGTGAAGAAAAACTCGGCAACTTTAATTGCCAATAGCACTCAAATCCAACTCTTGTTAATTTGCCATAATTAACTTACTCTGTTTCACCTTCTATCATATTCTACAAAATATTGGGCATGCATAATCAGACTTCTCAAACATATGCTTCAAATTAAACATGTTTCTATTAAAACTCAACGTATTAGCTCTTTGTAGATACTCAGCTCTTTTTGTTTTGTTTTTAAATTATTTGTGAGAGAATAAGACTGACAGAGAAAGCTCCCATCCACTGGTATAGAAGGTTGTAGTCCCCTGGTGAGGCTGAGCCAGGAGCCTAGAACTCAATCCAGGTATCTCACACGAGGGGGTTAAAGACCAGAAGATTTAAGCTGCCTCTCTGCAGCAAGTAATGTGCATCAGTAGGATGCTGGAATTGGGGGCTGAGATAGAACTCGAAACCAGGTACTCTTGATATGGGATACGAGTGTCACAACGCGTGGCTTAACCGTGGTGCCAAACACCTGCTCCCTGTGTTCTAACATTCCAAACCTTGTCACCATGTGCTGTGTGTTTGGTGGTTCAAGCCTCAAGAGATTTATTTACTTACTAAGAAAGACCCTGGCAATACAGATAAGACAGGAAGGTTAACACAAAACCGCCTGATCCCAAAATGAATTAGAGATGAAGGGATCTAACAATGTTAAAAATAAAGCTTTAGTCTTATTAAATGCTTTTTCAGCTTTTCCCAAGAGATCATATTGGCTTTCTCTTTAATTTACTAATATGATTAATTAGATTTTAAACTATCATAGTGTTTGAAAAAATAAACTGTTTTTAAAGATCCTGCTGAACTACGAACTTGAGTAATATTAGTGTTTCTCTCTCTCTCTCGGTACTGATCTTATCCAATGCTGGTTTCAGAGTTACATGAACTCCTTCAATGAACTGTTTAACATTCTACTACTTCCTTTGTTGTAAAATAGTTTAAATGACACGAATTAAGTATTCTTTGATATTTTCAGGCAATCCACCTGTGTGTGAAACTATCTGAACCAGGTGTACTTCTTAAAGGGGAGAAGAGTTGACTTCTTTTGGTTGTTACTACTACTTAGAATTATCTTTACTAAAATTTTAGTAAAAAGTATAAACCCATCTACATTTTTAAAAAAGATTTATTTGAAAGGCAGAGTTAAAGAGAGGCAGAGGCAGAGAGAGAGACAGAGAGAGAGAGGTCTTCCATCTGCTGGTTCACTCCCCAGTTGGCCACAATGGCTGTAGCTGAGCTGATCCAAAGCCAGGTGCCTAGAGCTTCCTCCAGGTCTCCCAAGCCAGTGCAGTGGCCCAAGGACTTGAGCCATCTCTACTGCTTTCCCAGGCCATAGCAGAGAGCTGGATTGAAGTGGAGCAGTCTGGACTTGAACTGGCCCCCACAGGGGATGCTGGCACAGCAGGCTGGGGGTTTAATCTGCTGCACCACAGCGCTGGCCCCAATCCACCTACATCTTCAAACCCACTTCAGGGATCACTCACTAAGCTTTCCTTTCCACAGTTTGTGCATTTATCTGTTCTCAGTTTTAAAAACTCTTCTTGGTCTTTCAAATTATTTTGTTAGCAGTGCTCTACTGCATTGACATTAATGCCAGTTCACTTCTATTTCTCTTTGGCTTTATTGAAAATATAATTTTAAAAAATTGAGGAAAGGAAGTAGGGAAGAGGAGAGGAAGGGGCAAGGGGGCAAGAGTTCCGATCTGCTGGTTCACTCCCCAAATGCCCATAACAGCAGGGACTATGTTGGGCCAAAATCAGGACTTAGGAAGTCAACCCAGGTCTCCCACCTAGTTGGCAGGAACCAACTACTCGAACCATCACAGCTGCCTCCCAGGATTAACACTAGCAGAAGTTGAAATCAAGAGCTGGAGACAGGGGGCTGCTCTGTGG